AAGGAAGGAAGGAAGGAAGGAAGGAAGGAAGGAAGGAAGGAAGGAAGAAAGAAAGAAGATCCTGACCTTTGCTGTGACAGGGATGAACGTTGAATACATTATGCACAAACACAGTGTAACTTCACTTTCAGGAGAAGGCACCTGGAGTCCTCAGATTCCCAGAGACAGAACTTAGAGGTGGATGTGGGGTGAGCAGTAATATTCAAAATGTAGAATGTCTGCTCTGGAGGATCCAATGGGTCTGGAGACAGACGGGATGGCGGGACACCGCATTGCTGTGCTTACCTTCAATGGACTGAGGACATGCATGGTGTTACCTCTATTCTATCACAATAGTGACAATACAGCTGAATGCATCTGTTATCTCACTGGGTTTAACGTATCTAAACTCGCAGGCCTCCAAAACTCAGGCAAAGGTGGCAGAGGCTCCAAGAAGAGCAGAATCCTGCGGTGAACTTTCTCCTTAGGGGGAGGACTCAGAAGCCCTGTTGTGAAGTCACTTTTTGAAATGAAGGCCAAGTTCTCAGCTCATTCTGTGTCCCCTGCAAAAGGTGCCTAGGAAGAATGGGGGCTAGAAGAACTGATGGGGAAAACCAGGGCTTGCCACTGGAGCTGGGAAATGTGACCAGGGGAACCAGCAGTTATAATCTGGTTACTTAATTTGTGTGTAATTTTGTGTATGTGTTGTGTGTGTGTGTGTGTGTGTGTGTGGTGTGTGTGTGTCTGTGTGTGTGTACATGTGCAGGTCCCAAGTTGAAACTGGGTGTCTACCTCAATCAGTCTCCACTATGTTGAGGCAAGGTCTCTCACTGAACCTGAAGCATGCCAGTTCCAGTTAATCTAGATTTCCAGCTTGCTCTTGGGGACCCTATGTCTCTGCTTTTAAAGTCCTGGGATTGTAAGCAGCCTTTACATCTACCTGGCTTTTTACCTGGGTCCTCAACTACAGTCCGCACACTTGTGTGCCAAGCTCCTTATCCATCAAGCCGTCTCCCCAGATCCCTAGTTACCTATTCATTATTCATTTCTTTCTCCTACCCTGTGGGGCTGAGGTACCATGGACCGGGGAAGAGCCGGTCCAGAGCAGGAGTGGGGTTGAATGTGTCCAAGCCCAGAAATATCTAGAGAGTGGTAGGAGTG